TTGCAGGTGAACTTTGTCTTGAACTGCACTTAAATGAAACACCAACACATCTCATTTTAATCAAATGAGCATATTTTGTTTGTTTTTTTCCCTCTCAAAAATAAAATGTAAATTATGGGTTTGATGGGATGAAAATCTGTAAAATTGTGATAAAATGAATATCTGACATTGAAATGAAATAAAATACTTATAATAAACTGAATGTGGGATTATTCAGTTCTTAATAGGGATGTTTGTGAATTAAAGAAACAACTTATTAATATTCAGACGTATTTTCTTCTATTTTTTGTCACCGTTATTGATTCGTTCTTCATCCTGCAGCTTTGGAGAAAAACACAAAAATAAAAGAGTTATAGACTGATTCCTGTCGATCAAACTGAGGTAGACGAGTTGTGAAACTCTTCCTCTCCTCATCGTGTCACCAGCAGCAGGCCGGTTATTTTAAAGGTGACAAACGCCCGCAGAAAGCTTCAGGTCCAGTCCGTCCACCGCTCAGGACTTTTGCCCAGAGGCTGGAAACGTTATCGACGTCGGCAGCAGCCACTTCCTGTGAGAGCTGCACATTTCACACCAATTACTGCACCGATTCTGCCCCGAGGCGGCGCAGGATAAAACTGGGAAGGCATCGGAAACGATGGAGCCAAAATGGCCGCCGCAGCTGAGCAACTTCAGCAGACGTGGTTCAAACTCAGCTCGTTGTAGAGACGCTGCGCTGAGAGTCATCCCCAACACGCACCCCGAGCTCTGGATTCAAACTTCAACATTAAAGCGTCAGCAGGGGGGTCTCCACCGAACASCAGCATCTGTCAGACAAACGTGCCCCGAATCAATTTTTAATCTGATCTCAATTTTTAATCGTCCAGCGGTCGTGGCGTGGAAGCAAACCGAGCGGGCAGCAAACAGGAACAGCAGCCTGATGGGGTTTAAACATTGTTATAAAAGATGAGCTGGTGAAGAAGAGGGGGTCATTAAACCAACATCMGGCAGCCGAAGGCCCCGAGAAAGCAGAATTCTAAATAAATCAACAAAAAATGGAGGGTTTACGTGTGTAAAAACATTCAATTAAGACAGAAAATATCAAAATAATGCTTTAATAATGAAACTTAATCAGTTTGTTATCATTTTGTGTTTACTGCAGAGGAAAATAAAGACTGATGTTTGGTTTTGCTGGAAGTGAATATTTGTGTTTGTTTTATTTTGTTTTTGTTTTTTTTTTGGCTGTTGTAAAAAACTTAATTTTTTCATAATTTGTTCTTCATAAAGCCAAAGAATCGCATMATCCTGGAGTGTGAAAGGAAATTAATTTAAATCGCGTGTCAAATTCAAGGCCTGCGGAAGAAATACGGCCCACAACGACATTTTATGTGCTCTGCCAGAGCTTCAAAGGTGTATCGTCTTAAAATAAGCTGCTTTAAAGCTAGCGTTAGCCGTGAACTACATCTCCCATAATGCATGTTGATTATTATAAATGACGGCATGCCACCATTATGGAGGCAGGGTTCAAGGCGAAATCCGTCGTGTAAAATCAGGATTTTTCTACATTTGCTGCGACCCGGTTGTACTGGAAGGTGGGAMTTTCCCACTTACAAGTTGTAAATTTAAACTGGAATGTCCCTCCAGTGGGAATTCCCTGTTGGAAAGTAGGCGAGCCCAGAACTGTAGATGGCAGCTCACCACAACTCAACACTGAAGTATAAATATCTCATTTTTTATTTTTAATTGTATTTTTGTATTATTTATTTCACGTTTAGTCAGTCAGACACTTAGTTTTCAATGTTTATAGCCAGTTAAAACATTGTTTCTATGCAGGAAATACCAGGTAGAGCCCCGTTGTTAGCAGTGCTCAGTCGTACTTTTCAGTGTTTATAGCCAGTTCAAACACTGTTTCTATGCAGGAAATACCAAGTAGAGCCCAGTTAGTATTTGTTAGCAGTGCTCAGTTGTAGTGACGAGACGAGGAACGTGACGTTTTGTTATTTAGTTGAGGTTAAATAAAASTTAACAGCAGTATTTATTTAACCAAACTCTTCTGAAAACCTGTTTGTTGAAAACTAAATTTTAGTTTTCAGGCTGTGAAGCTGAGCTGCAGCTGTTGGAGACTTGACGGTGACTCAGAACCGTGGGAAAATTCTGCAAAAAGAGGTTAATGTTATAGTTTGACTAAACTCATCCACATTTTGGTGGCAGATCATCATCATCATCATCATCATCATCATCATCATCATCATCCTGCAACTTATGAGCTTCAGCTTCAGGCTTCGTTCCACTTTCTTTTTTTTTTTACCCACATGATGTTGATCTCTCAAAGCCAGCTTTAATTATTCAGGGAATTGGTGGGAAGTGGATAAAAACAGTTTGACACTCGCTCCACTTGTGTGAATTTAACACTGTAATGAATACACAATGACCTGCTGGTGATGAACTCACTGCCGTCTTCAGCTCTCATTAATAAATGCATTGATGTGGAGCGCTGAGCAGCTTCAGACGAAGCTGTTTTAAATAAGTTTGTAACTAAATGTAACCAAAACTGATTTATCACAGAATGAACGCCATCGAGTTTATTTTGTGAAACAGATCTCGGCTTTTCGGTTTGATTAGTGGAAGATCTCAACAAGCCGAGGATTTTAAAAGACTTCAGAGCAGAAGTGTGACTCGGTGAAGGGCATCGACTTTTAAGGAGCTTCTGAGAGAATCGAGAGGGAAACATAAAATAAAATAATCCCCTCGAGACGTGATGCATCAGAGCAATTATGTGTGAATGTTGACAGATAATTCTGGTCTTTCATCTTCGTCACAAGGAGAACAAACTTCAAACAAAACAAAGCAACGAGCTTCAACCATCCACACTTTTCTGGTGGAACTCTGAACAGTAATGTACAATTATATTTAGATGTGATACATAAATATGTTTCTTTTGATGTTTTTTTACATGAAACGCAGGAGAAAAACATGTATATTCAGATTAAAATTTGCTTTTACTCATAACTTTGATCAGTTTTCTGTAGAAGCAAAAACCTGTTTTATTTTCTTATTCTACTTTCAGCTTTTTGCTGTTCTGATACTTTCAGTTAGCTTTCTGCTACTTTTAGCTTTTACCAGCCTTTTGTTTCAATTTAT